ACTTTCAAACGTCATTGCGTGAAGGTCGTCGATTTCATTGTTTCCAGTGCATTTGTTTGACTTTCAAACGTCATTGCGTGAAGGTCGTCGATTTCTTTGTTTCCAATGCATTTGTTTGACTTTCAAACGTCATTGCGTGAAGGTCGTCGATTTCTTTGTTTCCCAATGCATTTATTTGACTTTCAAATGTATTGTGCGTCAGTCGTCGATTTCGTTGCTTCTAAAAACTGAATATATGAGTTTGATCTGTTGAAATGCCTAAAATCGTTTTGATATTCTACCGGTAAACGGGTAGTATTTTGTTAGGAAATTGTTGTTCTTCCCCGACAATTTCTCCATTTTGCGTAATTGTTTTTTGCTGGTAAACAAATTGTATATTTTTAGGATTTATTTGGGCCGCATACAAATGTCATAGCAGGAGGTTGTGCCAAATATAAAAGATGAGTTTTTTAATCGAAGTGGGGAGTGGAGGGTTGGTTGGCCACAGCTCTAAATTTTGTTTGGGTACTGGTAGTTTTATGTGATGGCTACAAGTTATCTGAGTTATCTTACAGACTAACCATATTATAAAAAGCTTAGGTAATATTTGAAATCTGCAGCATTCCAATAAGAAATCAAATCGACGATCATGCCTGAATTTTTTCATATATACTCGATTTATTAATATAAGCAGGTTTGAGAAAATGTATCAAAGTTTCATGCGTTATACCAATGCCAGAAATTACAGTTAGGATCGTTTGTTACGACCCCAGCGAGGTAACTTCCAATGGCTCATGGTGCGGGCAATGCAAGAAGCAAGGCATTTACCACGGGATATCTATTGCCTTTGGATAAGTACTTTAAGTACTTTGCAGCCTAATTCATTTTCCGTTGCAGGCTAATTATGACCACATAAGTGTAGAGCTAGATTAGGAATAGCATCAGAGCTCCAGTTCACTATTTGGCAAATCTCTTGTGACCCAAAAATTCATTCATTCCCCTGGCAATGCAGATTACCATTAAAAATGCCTATTTGCTGTCAAAAGTAAATCGGTTGAATAATGCATGGACGTGTTGTATATGTAATCATTAAATAATTCAATTTAATTCAAGAAATCAACCCTGATTTGATTTCTATTTATCACTGAGCTCCTCTATATATAATTCCTGCAGATGCTTAGACGCTGATGCTTAGACCGGCCGAAGTTCGCCATGCATAACAGTTTAGGATCGACATCTGAGTGAATGTCACAGTGATTCAGAGCAATTCAGAGTCTTACAAATCAATTCAGCGGGCAAAATGTATTAGTTTCATGGTAACGGCAAAATTTTATTTCATAGATGGAATAAATTTCTTGCGAATATTTGATTTCTATTTTGTCCAAATGAAAAGTTGAAGGTAAAGTTTTCCAAACTTTCTTGTAAAAAATTTGCTGGCAAGCGCTCGTGGCATTGACTAGGTAGCAGTTGTTTGAACACTTGCTTTTCAAATGTTTATACCAGTAAATATAGTCTATTCCGCTCGACTCACTCAAGAGCTGAATAAAGAGTTTGATCAATATTGAAGTTACAACTATCGAATAGAAATTCCAGCGGTGAACATATATACTTTTGCTAGACTATTATTATATCTCCACAGCACATCATTCATGTTCCGTACTCATTCGCTGCTTTTTAGAGTTCAGCGTTTTTTCTTTTGCTTATGTATCGCGTAAAAATGATTTTTGATTCCTGTCATGTTGCAACTTTTTCATAGAATTTCATTTCGTTCACGGCGCAATCTTTTGCTTTTCCAGTACTAATGATTAAGGACCACGACCATTCTTGCTAACTTGGCTCAAATTTCTTAATTTTGTTCTATATTCCTGCATTATTTTTTCTTCCAATAAGAAGTTAACCAGGAAAATTGCATAATATGAACAGAATTAATTAATCCTCTTGTATATAGTATTTTGATTAAATTCGACAGCACTAGGCAGAGCCGAGCTGATATTTGATGGTACAAAAATAAATGTGTTCTGGTAGTTACATTCAAACTATACAACACAAACTTCTCATGCCATGATCTTATGTATGACTAGAGCATGCAATGTTTATGTTTATTGAGGTTTAGCGTCTGATATTCCGCGGCGTGAAACATTGAATTCGATAATTTAGTTAATTAAAAGTTATATCACTCTGAAAAAATGTATATAGTTTCTCTGAAAAAATGTATTTCAGTTTTTTTTATTTGCAAGGTCTTTTGTCACGCTCATGGTTACGTCATGATATGAACTATTTAATTGTTCATTCGATTTTGTAAATGTACTCGTAAAGTACGCAACACAAAAATGTTCTCAGATAACAATTTTTAGCACCTGTCTTGCCATTGCATTAATTTCATTACTCTTTTCTTTCGATACATCGGTTCAAAAAATTACCGGGTAAATTTTTCATGAGTAAAATTTTTCACAAGTATAAATAATTTATTCTGCTTCAACTAGCTCATCTGTAACGCAAAACATCGATTTGTTGCAAGGCCCTGGAGCGAAGGGCATACATGTCTCGGATGGACATCATTTCATTAATTGCGTATTTTATAACTCAAATTAATTTATCAAACAAATAGGTCTTATCTATGAGACCGTTCCAATTTATATATTAACTATAAGGTATAGCTACGAACAAAAGAATAAGCTCATGTTATTGCGTTCTCATGTTACCCGTGTAAATACCGTGGTGAACACTTGTTTTCCACAAGCAATGTTCGGATGCTATGTTTTGTACACGTCAGCAATTGAATGTTTAGACCACGTCGGTGTAATATAAACTCTCTTCGAGCAAAGTTTAACAAGAGCTTTGAGAACCCAGGAATCAAGTTTCTGGAAATGAGTTTACCAAATTTTTACGTAATAACAAATGTTTCAATGAATGGGTTGCATCAGCCGCATTACATTTGAACGCATTTATTTGAACGCATTTGATGCTTAGTACACGTGTAAATATCGCGGGTGAACACTTGCGACATAATTCTTGTCTTGCAGAGCGCTGGTGCAGAGCGCTGGTGTGGCCAGTTCGAGTGCGACCCTCGCCTGAGCAACAACAACTGATGGACGCGCCTGCCTTACTTCTCGCGCTGCTGGTGGCGGCAGCCTCAGCAACGGTGGGGAATATATACTGTTAAATATTAATGATCTCTAAATGCTGTTGCTTAATTTTGCTCTATATGTTAACTGTATTTTTTTCTATTTACTGCTGGTGGCGGCAGTTTCGCCTGCCTCGGCAACGGTGGGGAACACATACTGTTAAATATCAATGGTCTTGAAATGTTGTTGTTTAATTTTGTTTTATATGTTAATTGGTGTTTTCTGCTGGTGACGGCAACCTCGCAAAGGCAACGCTGGGGAATATATACTTGTTCAAATTACTAACCAACCAGACATCTAATTTTAAAATAACATTGAATAAACGTTGTGTCGCATAATTAAACTCTTAATCAATGTTGTTTCCATCTCATTTGCCTAAAAGGTCGTGATCTGAAAATGTTTTTTAATTTTTTTTACATGAATAATGTTGTTTTGGTGAAATACTTATTGTTTCATTTTAATAATGTATTAAATTCAAAAAATTTCAGGTTCAAACTATTTTGCAGACGCAAAATAATTAGTTAGAAAGTTTGAGTGATATATGAAGAAAGCTTTGTCTGAAAACAATCTTTGAGACTATTGCTATAAAATTGTTGCCCACATAAAAAAGGACTGCAACTTTGTTAATTTATTTTTACCTGTGTAGAACACATAAAAATGTTATTATAACATCTCAAAATGTTAATAATTCACCGAGTAACCCTGAATTTTTTGGTGAATTTATTCCACCTTTCATTTTGTTTCAGGATCAGACATCGTCTGCTGGAATGCCTCGCGCCAGCGAATCCTCGGAAACGGTGGGTAAATTTAAGCGACTTCAAGATTCTCACAAATGATCGTGTTTTTTTGCACAATTCCACGAATTAATAATCGGATGACCAATTCTAAACTGTATTATGAATATAAAATAATGGAGATGCATAACTGAAGACATAAATATAACCATGAAAAATTGTGTACGTGAATTAGTGTTTTTAATCATGTGGAATTTTTTGCACTATTGTTCATTGTCTCTTGAAAAAAAATATGCGAGAATATTGCCAGCAGAATTTCTTTAGGGTGAATTAGACTGTCTATTTATTTCCATTTGTTTCGCATTTCATTACTTTTTAAATTAATTCTTCATCGCAAAAAAAATCTAATATAATATTCCATGCACTACTTATGGGTTAAAATAGCTGGTATTCAATGCTGTAATCGCATTCCACTTACTTTTACCTCTAAGTAATCGACGGTTTTATCACTTGCAGTTTGTCCTGCAAACGAACCTACAAAGCAACTTATTCTCAACCTGCGCTGCGGAGGCGAACTCTGTGTCAGGAAGCCTTTACTCCATCGACATGGGCACCTCAGAGTTCGTACAGGTACAGCTGACAAGCTCGAGCACTCAAAACATCACGTGGGTTGTCAAGAGCGGCGTCAAGTCTACCATCGATTGCGCCCAGGCTACTTTGGATGCAGGTGATCATACATATTACACAATCAGCATTATCTCAGTTGTTTTTTGTCAAAGTTAAACGATTTCAATTTAAATTTATTATATCATTTAATTTTTAAAAATACTAAGGAGCTCGATTTGTTCACAGTATGTTTGTGAAGTACGCAATTGTGCACAAATGAACCATTTTTTCATCTTTTAATTCACTTAAATCAGGCAACAGTCTAATTTCAGTGAGAATATTAGGAATTATAAGAAAATAGTTTATAGTTTGTTTCTTTTTTGACTAAAACGCCTGATGAAATGCGCTTATTTCTTCATGACGCATCACGAACGCTAATTTTGTTCCTGATTTACAGGCAAACTCATGTTCAAGTACAGCGGCGGCACCTGCAGTGTCGCAGAGAATGGGGTCTACGATCCAAGCCAACCCTCGTGTACTGGCGAGACGGTCTACGTTCTAATCCCTAGTGAGAAGCAGGGCTGGTCAGGGACCGTATTATTAAAACTCATTTTAGAACATGTAGCAGTTCTAGTACACGTAGCGGCCTAGGTACACGTCGAAACCGATTTATCGTCTGTAATCAGAGGGTATAACTTGAAAAGCCGTCTGTGAATGACTGACCGAGTTACGAAATCTCAACTATTTTTGATTGTACGGCCCCAATGCTCTGATTAAGTTGTCTCTCGATTCCCAATTTGCGGCATTTGCGTAGCAGTGCGTCATTTTTGAATACTAGGTTTGACATACAATCAATGCGTTTCACGAAAAGCCTATTTTGGTTAAGTCATCACACTATTCCCCAGATTGAAAATAATTATTGTTCACGAATTAATGAACCATAGTAACATATAATACTATTTAATGCATCTCCTCTTAAAAACGCGTATATTTATTCATATAATTGTTTTGTTGTCGAATATTTGAACATTTTGTAGACGAATACAACCTCATATTAGCGCGGCTGCGTTCCTAACATGCTCGTGTGTTCTGGTATCTCAGAACCGACGGCATGCTTCACCTCCCTGGGCGCGTTCTTGGACGGTGAGAGGATAACAACCGACGGCAATTGCACCTCAAGCTGTGCTGCAGGCAGCGTAGTGGGCGGAGGTGAGAAAATGAAATTTGCAATTTGAAAAAATATTGTAGAGACTTTCACGTGTTGAAAAATTGCACGAGTCGTGAATGTTAAAAATTGTAAACCAATGCTTGGTACTGTAATGCATCAAACAGTAGTATACCAATCTGAACTATACCAATCAGCAGTTTACCAATCATGACTACAACAATCTGTAGCAGCGGTTTACTAATCGCCTATTTGAGATCTCTCCAAAATAATACATTTAGTTTAACTCATTTCTCTATGCACAGAGATTAGAACAGTGATAATATTAGATACTATACGTCCAGACAGTCAATATGAAACTTTTCCACTCCAAAAGATTACGTGGTCTAATGAGTTACTTTATTGATTTCTCATGATGGTTGTCATTTGCGATAAAAATTTTCCGTAGTAATAATATGCTTATTGTGTGTGAGGTGTAGGCAATTATTTTTAAGCTAAAATTCTTTCATTCAACACAACGTCATGTCAAATATGTATGGAAAAGTGAGTTTCCAAACCTGATTTAACTTAGTTTCTCCTTTCCTGGCCTGAAATTNATGTGTATAAGAGACAGGTATAGGATAGGATTTTCTTTCGGCAAGTAAACCTGGGCTCTCGTTATTGTCACCGTGCCTAAATCTGTAACTAGGTGTAGGATATAGTGCCCCTTTTTAGTATATGAAGTTTGAGATAAATGTGTGTGTCTTTCTCCTTGTTAAGTCGCACTGCCAGTGTCGAGAACCTTCCATCGCCACCTATTGACCACTCGTGCTAAAACCTGACAGTTGGATATCGAGAGAAAAGTTAATCGCGGCGATTGAAGAGATTATCATAGGTGTCGAAATAACCGGTCGAAATAACCGGAACAAAGAGAAATACTTACCGCCGAAATCGCCTATATCTACTTAAAGCATAGTCACGGTTGCAATCACTACATCAAGACTAAAAGGAAAGTAGAAATAAAGTAGAAGTAGGACACGGAATATTTCTAATCACTTCTTGTTGACGAGCGGCGAGTTTAGCGGTAGGTGCCATTGCTTGCGAGTGGCGTCTTGAGGCATTGACGGTAGAATGGGCATTTCTTAGTCCACTTTCGGGACAAACTACAATGAAGATAAAAAACTGTACTATTTTTAGTTTATTTGTGGTTCATTGAATACGAGTTGATGTTTAAGTACTTTTTTGGTCTCAAGTGGTATAAACTTTATTAACAATTTAGGAAAAGACAAAATTTTTGCACATACCCAAGACAAGGCTGAAAAAACATTTTTAATTGATTGATTGATTTTTATTCACAAAGGAGCTCTAGTTACAATTCAAAAGAGAAAAAGAAAAACATTTACAAAATAATAGAGACATCCAAGTGAATGCCCATAAGCAGATAAGCTTCGCAGGCAACAGAGGTGATTTAAAACTCTAGTCCAATGATAAGGCAAAGAAGTTAAGAGCAACAGAAAGTTTCTAAATTAAACACATACAAGGAAAAAAAACCTCAAGAAAACTGATAACGGTATGTCACTAAAATTAAGCGTAACAAAGCAATATCAATATAACAGTGATTATATACGGGTAAAAGCTTGAAATATAGAGTCAAAAATATTCAGAACCTGCATGACAAACGAAGTCGAATTAATATTGGTCAAGAATAAATTTACGGAATTTCGTTTTTAAAAGTAATTTGGAACAATATTTTTTAAAATCTTCATGCGATTCATTAAAATATTTGACGCAGTTAAAAACAGTACCGATTTTTTCTACTTCCAGACGAACCGCTGGCAAGTTAAATCCTACGCCCCTGGCTTTATGGGAATGTTGAGGGACGAGAGAGGCGAAGGCAGACCAAAAAAAAAAAAAAAAACGATCATCATGGAAAAGTGCCCTATGCATGAATTTTAAAAGCTCAAGCTCAAATTTATACATATCGTCGAGTTTCAAGATTTTAGACTGCTTATATAATACGCTGGTGCGAGTCAAAGGAATATTATTGACATCATACTTAACCCTAAGCATGGAACGCAATGTTTTATTAACTAGCGTAATGACCCTCTTCTTTGTATTAAAAGGTACACCGCTCAGATTACCAAAGTGTTTGCTAGTTTAGAAACAGAAAATGCGTAGAAAAGCGTTTTTAACAAAGTAAAAGGTAGGACGCTCGATAATGCACGCAAAACTCCGTGGGCTTTACTCAGCCCCTGACAGACGTAGTTGATGTGCTTATTGAAGGAAATCTTGTTATCGAGGATTAAACCAAGATATCTAAATTCGTCGACCCATTGTAATATTGTGCCATTAAAGGTTATATCACGTAGGACGGAAACGGGTCTAGGAGTAAAAAGAATCAACTTAGTCTTGTCAGTGTGAGCTACTAGCTTGTTATCTAAAAGCCATCTCGACAAATGCACAGTCAGTTCCGATATGTTATCGCACACTTCGTCGAAGGAACTTCTCGAGACATAAAACACTGCGTCGTCGGCAAAAAGTTTGCAGTTCACATTAAAAGACGAAGCAATGTCATTAATAAAAATAGTAAAGAAAAGAGGTCCCAGTACAGAGCCTTGTGGCACACCTAAATATATTGATTGGTTTTATGGGTGAATTGAACTCGTTTAACGCGACGAACTGTTCTCTGTTCGAGAGGTAGGACTGAATAAGTGAGAGGAAGGTCCCTCTAATACCATAACGGTGTAGCTTCCCTAAAAGAATTCGGTGATTCACACAATCAAAAGCCTTCTGTAGGTCCAGAAAAAGAGCGACACAGTAATCTTTTGAAAGGTACGCTCTAAGAAGGTCTTGAACTAGATAAAATATAGCCATGGTTGTGTTGCTACCCTTACGGAAACCAAACTGGTTATCAGATATAATTGAAAATTTATCGAAAAAAGTAGTTAGTCTAGAGTGGAGAATTTTTTCAAAAATCTTATTAAGATATGACAGGGTTGATATAGGACGGTAATTAGAGACTTTGTAAGGGTCACCCGACTTAAAAATAGGTAAAACTCGAGCTCGTCTCAGTAAATTAGGATACACTCCTGTGGACATACAGAGGTTAAAAATATGCGCTACGACTGGCGCTACAGTGTCAGCTACAAGATACAATATTCTTGGCTGAAATTCATCGACCTGAAGTTTTTTGCCCTTGCACAGTCGTAAAATTTGCTTTATCTCAAATTCAGAAGTAGGAAAAAGGAAGCAGGATGCCTCACAGGAGGGAATTTCATTCATCAAGTTATCGTTCACAGGACCTAAGTTTTTTGTGATATCGTTAGCAACAGAGATGAAATAATTGTTAAATTCAGTTGCTGCATCGGTACCGGAAATTATCTCATTATTTTTTAACAATTCAATTCTTTTTTTTAACAACATTTTTTACAAGCAAGTTGTTGACAATTTTCCAAAGAACCTTTGAGTCATTCGACGCCTGCTCGATTTTGGCTGCGTAGAATTTGCTTTTTGACAGTCATGATTAACGCATTTAGGAGCATATGTTCAGTCTTAAAATGCCTAGCAAATTACGGACCAGGCAATAAGTCCAGCAGCTATCTCAATCAATCGTCAGTTATGGAAAGATCGGGTTCCAAAGGCCGGATCCTTTGTGAATCAAGTCACGAAAAGTTCAAGAATCGGCAACAGGCCATGGGCCTATTTCTTCAACGCCGACACTTCTATTCTATTCTATTTCGATAAGTGGCATAAGATCGACGAAGAATTACACCAGAGCGGGAGAGCTTCAGAAGCTTATGTTCCTTCTTGATAGCAGACTTAATTTCAGCTGTCACCCAAGGAGGCTTATGTTTTTACTGATACAAACTTTATGGGAAATGATTTATTATAAATTTTAGAAAGTTCAGATATAAAGGAGTGCATTGCTGCGTTAGGTTCGTTAATATTTGAAAGAAATGCCGATGGAAAAAGTCTCATGTTTTCCTTGAACTTATGAATATTTTCATCATTAATCACGCGAATTTTCCTCGGAAGTGAAACAAACGGAAATCTTGTTTCAAAGTGAAAGAACGTCAATGAAGTGATCAGACAAGTCGCAGTCAACAACGGCTGAATGGGGATTGGATCAAAAAGAAAAGTTACACCAGATAGTATGGTCAAGTAACGAGAACGGGGTAATGGGGTTTTGAGGAGAGATTCTGGTTGGTTTGGTTATAACTGGATAAAAATTGCTACACAGAATTTCATGTATAAAAAAATTGGTCCAGCATAAATTAAGAGGGTTGGACAGATTTATATTGAAGTCCCCACAAAGAATTGTTTTACTAGTTCCCTTTATTTTCGAAAGAACCTCGACTGAGAACAGTTCATTGGATGTTCGAATGCTGTTGGAAGGTGGTCTATAGACGCAAAAGATAGATAGCTCCAGCGCAGGTAAGCGGACACATAAACTCAAGAGTTCATACTCATTTAAAAAAATATTTTATATGGCTGTTAAATTTACAACCCCTGCGTAATGCCATGAACGATCACAGGACAATACTTCGGTTTGTAGTGTGAATTACTAAGAAAGTCGGGAAATATTTTCCAAGTACAACGAAGAATTGTGCAAGCTGAGTTTGGTGAAAACAGAAGTTATCTACCCGAGAGGAATTGGCTTGGAGGACATAATACCAAGGGTCTTCGGTTCTTTGGGAAGAATGGCTGATGGTTCACACATATATTATAAAGGAGTCTTTAAATGATCAAGCTGTTTGAGTCAATCGCTTGACTAATACGTGATTGACCGTGTAGCTAGGAACCCGATTGACGCTTGAAGTGAGGCTTAGAATAGAATAGAATAGAATAGAATAGAAGTGTCGGCGTTGAAGAAATAGGCCCATGGCCTGTTGCCGATTCTTGAACTTTTCGTGACTTGATTCACAAGGCGATCCGGCCTTTGGAACCCGATCTTTCCATAACTGACGATTGATTCAGATAGATGCTGGACTTATTGCCTGCTCCGTAATTTGCTAGGCATTTTAAGACTGAACATATGCTCCTGCATAGCTTCGTCTAGTCTGTTTTTGAAGATGTTCATACTCGGTCTGT